TCTGGCTGAATTTTGTTTTGAGATTTTGAGCTTGTTTGAATCTGAAACTCAGGTGACAGATGGAGAAGTTACAAACTTACGTGGATAAAATCAAATGTTTTCTTGATAAGCCATGAAGCAAGATTTTAGGTCAGACTGGGAACATAGTGAAGGCCCTGTGTACTCTACAAAAATGGAATTGTAACTGGGTCATGAGAAAAAAAACAGAGCACTCCTCAGAGACACTACTTTATCTGACTCCAAATACTTAAACAGAAATAGGACATCAAGTACCCCCTCCTCCAAAAAAGAAAAAAAAGAGACACGCATATGCAATGATGTGCAAAAAGAGGCAGTTGTCCCAATCTCTAACTTGTCAGAAGAGGCAGGGAACTGAAGCCACAGCCTATAATAATACAGCTGTTATCTGATGGATAAGTCAACATGCGGAATACAAAAATTCTAATAAAAGTGAAGGATTTACAATGCTCTGTCCTTTGAAGTAGAGATTGGCTCTGCACGTGTGAGGCTTTTCACAAGGGCACCTCATGAACACTCTGAGGAACAAAAACAAACATACATTCCAAGCATACCAACCAACCCACCAGATCACCATTCCAGGCGGATCTGAGAAGATGATACTCCCTTTTATGAGCACTTTTCTACCACTGGGGGGATGTGGTATAGTCTAGATATAGTTCTCTGAGGGGAGAATTGGGTTATAAAGTGCTGTGCACTGGCACACACTGTGCATGCACTGTTTTCAGACAGCTAAAGAGAAACACTATAGAGCGCTAGAGAGAAAAGAAGTTGAGCCCCCTCCCTGCCCCTCACAACATCTACACTATAAACAATCAAAATTCAAGTTATCTGCAGCAAAAGGGGGATACTCAAGGTGGTTGGACAAATGAGAGTTTTAAATGCAAATACTGCACATAGTAGAACATGTTTTCTTGACACTATTGTTACAAGCAGTGGGGGTTGGGGAGGAGGAAGGGGAGGCTAATTAGTCATGGGTCATTTGCTATTGTATATATTTTCCCATTCCTGCCCACTAGCTCAAGCCATGCACCAGTTGGGCCTCTTCTAGTAGGGTATAAGATGTCTGTTGAGGCAAAAAACAAGGAACAGGATTCATTATGTGCCTCTCTGCTAACATCTTGGCACAGTATTGTTCCAAGTGCATTTAGAAGCTTGCCTGGCAAAGGGGACTGGTGTCTCCTGTCCTTCTCACCAGTTCTCGTCACACAACTCAGTCACATCTCCTATACTGAGCAGGATGCCACTACGTGCATTATATGTTTTCTGTCATCTTCCTACCATTAGATCTTAGATGCTCCTTCCAAAGAAGGCAAACTGTTTTCTCTCATCCTCTGACGTAGGTTGTGTTGGGATCTGTACTGAGGTGCAATGGCCTCGTTCCAGTACATAGCAGGCAAACTCACCCTGTTGGTCTTAGCTAAACCTGCCTCTTCAACCTCCTCACAGGAAGTGCAGAGGGCAGGGCAGAAAATGTAAGAGCAAGGCCCTGCAGCTCCATTGGAGCCAGACCAGTGAAAGAGCCAGACATCCTTTCCAGGGAGCCAAACTCCCCAAAGAGCCCATGACTGGCTGAAGCAGGTGATGATTCCCCTGAACTAGCCTTGAAGGAAGGACTGCTGCTGCCCCAGGAGACAGACAGAACCAAAGGGGAAGTGGAAAGTGAATCACATAGCACGAGGATGAGGAACCAGGCCCTCCAGCTGCAAGGAAGCCTTGCCAAATGATGGTAGGAAGTAGCTCAGAGAAATGAGGCAATGACTCAGCTATGTTGCTGGGAGGCAAGACAATTGCCCTATGCTTCCCTGCCAATCCTGTGATGGGATCACTTGCCACTTTCCGGATCCTGGGCTGGCACCTGGTAGAGCACAATGGTCTCAGGTCCCCCAACCCCTGGCCCTGCACTCGGGGGAGGATGAGCACTAACCCCAAGGCATGAAGGCCTGAGCCACTGCCTGCTTTTGCTTAACCTCTTCCCAGGAGGCCTGGACTGATGACTGCTTTTCTCCATAGCCCTCAGGCTAGAGGCCTGAACCACAACCACTGGAGTCCTCAACCTTAGCATAAGAAGACCTGATCTATTGGCTGCCTGCTTTGCACTTCCCACGGAGCAGGCTTGGCTACCACCAACCTGATGCGAGCAGATTCCCCATCACCAACAAAGGGGAACCCCTGGCCCCAAGACACAGGCCCCTTCCAAACATGGTGGAGAATGCAGGTTCTGCTCCAGCTGGGACAAGGAGAAAAAATGCGAATCTGATTCACCCACTGCAGAGACAGAAGGAGAATTTTCCCCTCTGAGCCTAATGGAGATGGAAAAGTTTATAAAGTGGCTTGCCAAGAGCGAGCAACAACAGGCACTCCAGACCCAAAAGTAGCAGCAGCTCCTCGTCCAACAGCTGAGCAACCATTAGCAAAGGCTGACTTGGGAATTGGGAACCCAGCATCGAGAGCAACAGCACCAATGCCTGCTGCTGATCTCCATGACACCAGACGTTATGGGAAGAATGATCCAGACAGCCTCTGCCGTGACCACGTACCTTACCAAGAGGTGGCCTGATGATAACCTGGAGGCCTTACTGGTCATATTTGAATGTCTTGCATCAGTGAGACAGTGACTTGCTGAAGAGTGGGACAGCCTCTTCATGCCATATTTAATGGGCAACTGAAAAACATGATCCTCACTGCCCTCAACATTATGCCCAATACTTCCTGCAACAATTCTGGAGAGAGATGGACCCACTGGGGTCCAAACTACTGTTAATCATGCAGGGGATGAAGATGTCTGTTGGCAGTAGATGTAACCTGAGCATCATACTAGAATTGAGGTCACCAAATGGGTGGTCCTGGAGCAATCTATTCCCATCCTATCGCCATACGGAAGGGCATGGGTCCTTTGTGATCAGCTGGACACCCCGAGAGAAGCAATCATCCTAATGGAAAACTTTGTGGTCAACAAAAGCCCAGTCCACCCAAGAGGAACAAGCACAAATTCAAAGACCCAGACTGAGTGAGAGGCATACCAACAGACAGGATCCCAGGTACTGGCAGAGCAGTCAAGGAGGGCCACATAGTGATGGAAATCTGGGTGCCTGTAGCTAGCTGCTTTGGTTATCTCTGCCAAGAGCACTCCAATATATTACCACTGTAGACCCTCAGAAAAGGATCCTGAGACATGCTGCTGGATCTAGCTTCCAAGAAGACAATAGCCTTTGCTACCCCCATAAGACTACACCAATTTACCATGATGCCCTTCTGGCTCTATGGGGCTCCATCCACCTTCAAGCAGTTGATGGGTTACATATTATAGCTTCATGGTACCTGTGCCACCACCTACTTGGACAATGTGATCATGTACAGCAGTAACTGGAAGGGACCGTCTCAACATCCTTCAGGTTTTACACCGCTGGGCCCATGGTGAATGCCAACAAATGCAAACTAGGCTGGAAGAAGGCCACTTATATAGGATACATCCTGGGTATGGTCAAGTCCACTCCTTGTGGGTAAAGTCCAGGCCACTCAGCCCTATCTACCATGTCAATCAAAAAGTTCTTGGGGTTAGCAGGTTATTACTGCCACTTTGTCCCCAACTTCTCATTGATACTGACAGAACTTCTGAAGGATAACATCCAATCAGTTCACTGGACAGAAGACTGAGTTCGAGCCTTTCAGGCACTTAAAGACCACTTGTGACAACAATCTATGGTGTTCAACCCTGATTCTCTCGAGAGTTCATCCTTCAAACCAATCTCTGGGAGTAATGCTCTTCTGAGAAATCAAGGAAGAACAGCACCCGTTGATTTATCTCACCTGAAAGCTGTTTCGACACAAGCACAACTAGTCTGTGATTGAAAAGGAGGTCCCAACTGTCAAGTGTACTGCAGAAGCCTTGCAATAGAGCCCCCGTACTCTAATGACTGACCACTGCATACTGAAAAGGAGACTAACCTACGTGTGATCCTCAATCACATGCCCTCTTAGTTCCATTCTGAGCTAGTAAGACACACAAACAGCCATTTCTTTTCCTGGGTGGCAGAAGGTGAATCCCAGCTCCTCAGAGATGCATTTAAGAGTGTGGGTGTGTAATACAGCGGAGTGGCCTCACTCTGGCATGAAGAGGGCTAACTCACTCTGCTGGGCTCAGCCTGAGTAGGGTTGCCAGATGGCTGAAACAAAAATACCACCCCCCCCCCCAAAAAATGGGAAAAAATTCTGTTGAAGGGGAAAAAAAAACCCTCCTCCGAAGACAAGCCAAAAAAAGCCATTGCTTCCCCTACCTCTTTTGGCTGGCAGCCATTTTGTGCCAGCAGCCTTGGGGAACCAGGTAAGCATGGGGGCTGGGGTCGGGGGGCTGGGAGCCAGGTGGGGGCTCAGGGAGGGCAGGCGCTGAGTGTTTGTAGGGTTGCCAGGTGCCTGTCATTTTTGCCTCCTGGCCGGGGAAAAATTCAGAGAATACTGGACATTTTAGGTGTCCGGTATTCTCTGAACTTTTTACCGAACAGGAGCCAAAAATACTGGACTGTCTGCGTAAATACCGGACACCTAGTAACTCTAGGCTCAGCTAAGCCCTCGGCGTAAGTGTGCAGGCAAGTTCACACAACTTACACATCAGTCAAGCCAGCAAGATATTTTTAAGAAGAACATACTTCAGTGAAAATCTGGATTGTGCATCTGAATTCTTGTGAGGAAAAGCAGGTTCTGAAGTGTCTAACTGGCTATCTCTGAATGTAACAAATCAGAGTCTTGCTATCCTAAACCACTTATTTTAAAACCAGTACCGTATACATGGAAAATGGACTGAAGTTTAGTGCTGCATTTCACAGTTCACAGCTGATCTTAGTGCATCTGTTATGTGTGTCCTGGAAGTAGACAGCTGAAATTAGCAGTCCTACCCAGTCACAATATCCTGTTGATCTCAAGAAACCTGCAGGGATTGATCATTATGCTAAGCAGCACAAAGTTTCTTTTTTTCTCTCTCTTTTTTCCCTCTGACCTCTTGGGGGTGCTCTCAGCTCTCTGCTTCTCTCTCTCAAGTTGGAGTATGCATTATCTCAGTGAAATTTCCTGTGTATGCAACCCTCTTGCTCTGCCTGACTATCTCAGGGTTGCTCAGAGTGTGTGTGTAAGACACAGGAGAGAAAAATTCTGGAGAAGGGTTAGCTCCAATTTCAGTGAGCGAAGATGGATATTTACTCCAGTCGTGCAATGGACAGCACATGGAAGGGCTGGCTGTTGCTGACAACTTTCTACTTGGCTTTCTACCAAGGTAAAGTCAGGTTGGTTTTCCTCTATTCAAAATGGAGAGGAAAGGAAAATCTAATTTTTTTCTGCTTTCTGTATTTACTGAGTATTCCAGAATAGATCAAATTGTGTTATTTCTCACTTTTCTCCGTATGTTAAAGTTCTCAAGGGAGATTTTTCAAAGACTTAAGGAGGGGGCTCTGTTTTGGGGATGGCTAATGAGTGCTGTTTGTATAGGGGTAAGAAGGGGAGCTGCTGTATTTTTCAAATTCTACTTTCCTGCAATTATTGTCCTCCCTTTTCCTTCACTTTGAACTAATTTGTGCCTAAGAACAAAACCAAGTCATAAACAAAACAACAGCACTAGTCCCATAAAGGGATACGGAGAAGATACAGAGATGCAGAGTAGATTTCTACTTGCTGCTTATCCTCAGCTCTTTTGGAGATGTAAGCACAGAACATTTGGCCTAGCATCTAGGTGAATGGAGTCTTTCATTATTAACAGGGTGGCAGATAGAGGCAGTTTGTTTGAGTTCAATAAGACAACTTTGTCCTCTATAGAGATGCTTGTTATTGAGCAGCATGCATTTGTGTGCGCACACACCAGGAAGTTGCTACTTCTGTCGGCTTTTCTGAGCATACAGGACACCAACCAGAGTGGTCTTTGATCTATTAACTGGGTGCTCCTGAGTTTCCAGGAATTGAGCTATTGAGAGATCACACTAGGGTTCTGAAGTTTTCTGTACTCCAATAGTCTTGAGTATTTCCAGATAAGTTGGATATCAAACAAGCTGCTAGCCTTCGGCTGTGCTTTGGTGCCCTCAGCTGGCCTCAAATCAGGGTCACTTATCTCACATGTGATGTATCTCACGGCCTTTGCTGAATGTAGAGAAGAGTTTTATATATTAAAGGCACAACAGGTTAACAAATAAAGGAAGGAAAGGAGTGGGGTTCTGTAATGATGCCTGCAACTGCAGGGAAATAATTATGTGAGACATCATGCTCTATGCCTAACAACATGCTTCTAGTTCTGTTGCTGACAATGTGACCTAAGGAAAAATCCATCCTGGCTCCAAACCTGGCAATCAGTTTAACACTGGACAGCCACAAATGTTTGTTTACTATACAGAAGAAAAAAACTTGTTTTTTCACACTTCATTTTCTATTTCCTGGTTACTTGTGGCAGATTTACTGATGGCTGCAATGTGTAAAGGGAGAAATCTGCCACACAAGAGGTATTTTTAGTCAGATGATAATTGCTAAGAACATCTCCTGTGGTTTGAGGTGATAAATAACTAAGGGGGTGCACAATGTTGTTTCTGCATGCCTCACACTCAAGCCCCCTTGCATCTATCTCATTCCCCTCTGTAAATGCCCTGCACTACCTTCCCATTGCCTCTATATCAAGGACTCTCTGCACTACTACCCCATCTCTTAGGCCAGGAACCCTGTGTGTATTCCCCCCCCCCATTTCTTTTCATTCTGTCTGTGAGATAAGTCATTCAGAGAGTCAATGTTTTAAACTGTATCAGAAAGAAAGGCAGAGCTGAGATGGGGTATTGCTATGCTGGAAGGCGTTAAAAGCTGCTATCAGCTGGTTCTTTGATCTACAGACAAACTGAGAAATGACAGAGTTGAGTGCAAAACTTTGGCTTTGCTCAGTCAAAAAAACAAAGTCAAAATCCAGAAACCTCATGCAGCTGGATAGACACTGATCAGATATCCGCACACATCAGTAAATGCAAGATCAAGCCATAGAGAAAGGAGGTTGGTTACTCTGGTGAAAGAGAGATGGCTGACCTTGTGGAAATTGCCAATTGCACCTTCCTCTGGACACATTTACATGGATATTTAAGCAATCAAACAAAAAGATTTTTCAAAGCTTAACAGAAATTAACACTAGCCCTTGATTCCAGCATAACATTTCCTCTGAGATAACCCCTTCTGCTAGTCACACTCTGGGAATGGCCTTTTAGAGCACAGACATCCCGTCTTGGGCTCAGGTGTATGAGCAGCCCCTGCAAACACTCTCTCAAAGATCTGTCATGCCAACCGTCCAGACACTGCCAATCCAATATTAATACGACTGTGCCAAGCATTCAGGCATCCTGCACAGAATAGATCAGTGGAAAGGTGGGTTGCAGAGCACCGATGAGGACAGGAATGAACCTGGAGTGAGGAACAGGGTGAAGATAGCACTACACATGGTGCAGAGAGTGGAGGGACTCCAGGGTAATGAAGTTCTGCTTATACTGTCTTGTGCAGATTAAAATGCATTTTATTATGGGGCTGATCCTAAGCTCACTGAAATCAGCAATGTCTTCAGTGGGCTTCAGATTAAGCTCTAAGGGTACGTCTAGACTACCGCGTTTTGTCGACGGAAGTTTTGTCGACAGATACTGTCGACAAAACTTCCGTCGACAAAGAGCGTCCAGACACATTGAGTTCTGTCGACAAAGCAAGCTGCTTTGTCGACAGAACTCCGTAGTCTGGACGCAACGTTACAGGCAATAACACCTTCTGTCGACAGAGTTCTGTCGACAGAAGGTGTTATGCCTCGTAAAATGAGGTTTACCAGCGTCGACAAAACTGCTGAGTTCTGTCGACGTTATGTCGACAGAACTCAGCGGTAGTGTGGACGCTGGTATAGTTTTGTCGACAAAAGTGGACTTTTGTCGACAAAACTAGGTAGTCTAGACACACCCTAAGTGACAGCTTCATTTCAGCTCCAATATCCTGGACAGCTAACTAAACATTAGATGGTGTTTAGAGTGATAATATGCTAATTTAAGTTTACTATTATTTGTCTTCAGTAGTGCTTATAATGGGCAGGGTGCTTTTCAGAGAGATGCAAGGAGATGGTCCATGTCCTAAGAGGATGCCAGTCTAAGGCTTTTTTATAGAGCCCTGCAAAATTGGCAGACATCTGCAGATATCCTTGGACCATATTTGCAGTTCGTATGCAGATACAAATTTTGTACCTGTGCAGGGCTCTACTTGTTTTAATAAGCTCAACTGTAAATCTACCATGACCCAGCCTGCCACCCTGAGAGTGCCCTCGTGCTGAGCATTTAAACTTCCACGGTGCACTTTATTCAACTTGTGTTTCAGATTTGGATAAATTAAACCACGTAACTGAAAATTTAGTGTGTGGCAGTAGGATCTCCAAGGGCCATCAGTGCATGGTATGCTAGCCAAGGCAGGTTTGTACCCCAGCTTGCTGCACTTCAACTTCTTACAGTAAGCCTTAAAAACAGATAGAACTTAGAGGAAGGGAATGGTAATAGATGTAATTCTATGCTCTGGGTGTCCTTAAACCACCCCTTGTCAGAATCTGGGTCCAGAAGAAAAGGGATGGATCACTGGGAATTGGCCTGTTTTGTTCCTTCTCTCAGAAGGAGCACTGGCCAGTGCTAGAGACAGAGTACCAGGCTCAGTGGACCACTGATCTGACCCAGCTTGGCCATTCTTATGTTGTAATAGCTAAGGGATTTCTGTCTAGAGACAACGTATCTTTTGGTTTGTTGGCAATTTAAAAATGTCAAAAAAATTTCCCGGTGGACAGAAAAGTTAAAAAACAACAACCCATAAGTCAGATGAAATGGCATGTGCTTAAAGTGAAACACTGTTTCATTTGGGAGCATTTTAAAATGTTTGACATTTAAAAAAATTAAATTACTGGAAATTCTGAAAGAAAACTTAACTTCAAATCTAAATGATAATAATAAACAAAGATTTGTTTAAAAAAACCTGAACACACCACATTTAGATTTGTAATTTTTACATGAATAATTTGGTAAACCAACATGAATTTACAAATAATTTTTGTGCAACTGAATCTGTACTTTTTGCTGAAAAAAATAGTGTTAGTCACTATTTCTAAAAATATCACACACTATTTCTAAAAATTTCAGGTAATGTTTGCTATAGCTCATTAACCTTTCATCATGCCACGTCTGGGCCGCAATGTGAGTGAAGGTAACATTTCAGGTGGAAACAGCGAGAAATGTAGTGGTTTCACATGTAGATTCAGCAGATTCAGCAGAGTTTCACTATGATTTTTTTCTTGAAAACTGAAACACAGCAAAACTCTAAAAACTAAGGCTCCCAGAGGTACAGCCCATGGAAAATGCTATGCTGGGTCACGGGGCGCATCTTTGTAAAATTGGTGTCTTTCTACTGAAGAATTTAAACAGGATTTTAAGTTTTAGTTGCTTTATTTCTTATGAAAGCGGATTGATGCTGCTATTCTGAAGGAATGGATGGGTGAGCTTCTGGGGTGGCCTGCAATATGTTGGATGTCAGACAAGGTGATCATGTTGGTCCTTTATGGCCTTAAAGCCTATGAGTCAATATTAGGGAAGTTAAAACAGTTAACTGAATAAACAAGAGAACTTACCTGGCTAACCGTTTTCATGCCAGGGTCCCGCTGTGGCTATGGATCCCACAGCCCAGCCTGCTGGCCACTCCATGGCTGAGGCTGCTCTGGCCTGGCATAGCTGACCACTGTCAGAGTTTGCTGACAAGGGTTGATTAACCCATAAGCATATCACTAAGCCTCACACTTACAGGTAAGCTTACCACAGTTAGTGGTTTAACATCCCCTAGACAGACTGAAAGAATCACTCTAAAGTGCCCTCTGCACACTGAAAATGACCAATAGTTAACAGTGGTATTAACGATGGTTCCTCTCTGTCCCTTCCAACCAATTTTGAAAACAGTTTGGCTGATAGTGTAGATTTGTTGAACCTATCAACACAATCTCACTTTCTGTAATAATTTGGTCCAATCCCCACGGATAACTGATCTGTATTCAGCACAGTAAGCCAAGGAAAGCATTGTTAATACAAGATCCTTTCCCCAATGTAGTTGTGCCCTAACAGAAGTATGAATTCCCCACATTTATCTCTCTGGGGTGAAAACTGAAGCCCAGTGATAACAAATTAAGAGAGTCTTGCAACATTCATGAAAATGTACAGCTTAGATACAAAATCTACCTGTGAGGATCAACAGGTGCAGAATGGT